CCACCTGCTTTGCTTCTACTCTTGGCAATGTGCCACCCCCCCCACAATACTCTTCCAGTCCCCTCTCTGATGTCACCTGCTCAGGAGAATCCCCCCACCTTCTGAACCCTGTCCCATCTGCCTGTGGCTGGCTCAAGCAGCTCCTGTCCCCGCAACCCTGGCAAATTGTGCTGAAGATGTAGGGCACAGTGTTTTTACTCGTTGCTGGCCCCGGTACCTCTTCTGCCCTCAGCAGATGCTCTGAAAATATTTGCCAAAATGAGAGCAAATGTTACTAATGTTTACACTGTGCTAAATGCCCTGGATCCTGCCTGGCACCAGGAACCTCCTGCTGGGAAAAAAGTCAGATCCACCTTCTGTTTCCACCTGCAAACCCCTGTTTATTGGAAGCAATGAGCTATCAGTTTGAGAGCACCTGTTCCCCACCCCTACCCCAGCACTGGGCTCAGCCCCATGGAGGACAGTGCAGGGCAGTGAGAGAGACCATCTACGTCTCCGTCCCCAACCAGTCTGGGTAGGCAGCCGCCCTGGCTGGTCAGAGGCAGGGTTCCCAGGGAAGGCAGTCCTCACCGGGGGAGCCGGCTGCCTGTGCCTGCTCAGTCTTCTCTGCTGTAACTGCATGTTCTCTTATTTGTACGGTGGGTGTCAACAGGTAAGTCCTGGGGAATCACTTCTCCAGGCAGGGGCCACAGGCACAGTCCAATCTGCCCACACTCTGGTGTGGTGCGTTGGGCTGGGTCCCCTTTGGGCCTCCTCTCTTTGAGCTCCTTCCCTTGCTTAGCAGGGGCTCCTCAGTGGGCAGAGTGCAGGCTGGGGCTTGACCCCACCACACTATACCTTCACTGGACCTCACCTGACCTGGGCCTCCCTCCATTCCCTTATCTGTAAGTGAGGACAACAGCCCAGCCATGCCTTAAAAAGAGAAATGAACAAACGTTAATAGAGAGCTTAGAATTAGGAAAAAGGACAGCTGTTTGTAAGATTCGGTGATGACTACAGGGGTGTCCAGGAAGAGAACAGAGTAGTTGAGGGGGGGACTTTCCCAGCAGAGCCAGGGAGCAGGTTCTATGTACTGTCACACAGCTGGTAGGCAGGGCCTGTCAGGAGAGTGACTCTGAGGCACAGGTGGGCTGAGGCTGAGTCAGACTTGTGAGGCTTGCTGCTGTCAGAGCAGCCCCACGCCCACCCTCTTGGCCCCAGGGGTGCCTCATATGGGGCGTGGGTGTTTCACATGGCTTGGCTGTGTCCTGAAGGCTCAGCTGCCCCATTGGCAGCGAAGAGCACCCAGCTTTCCTCCCATATACCTTTTGTGAGGACTATAACCACATAGAAAAGTGCCAGTGGTACCTGAATAGCCCAACAATTGTCACAAAGCGAACATGACCAGCACCATGGGTGGGGGCTGCAGAAAACAGAAGTAGATCCAGACAATTCGGGAGTATTGTGGGGAAATGAAAACACTAGCCACTTACTCTCTGCAGGAGAGGACAGTACATCAAAGGCCAGCCACTGTGTGCCCTCCTCAAATCTGATTCTGTCTGCCATGCACGGTGTCCCAGAGCTGTGATCAGTAAGGACTCCTGTTTCTTGTCTTCCTGGGGGGCCCTGGGTCTCTCTCCCTCAGCCTCCTCTCACAAGTTCACCCGTGCAGGGGTCACTAATCTACAAGGTATGGTGGACCTTCATGCTGGAAGGGCTCAGAGGCTAGGGAGGGATGCCCGTCCAACACACACACATTGCCTACCCATTTGGAGCTCTGTCCTGTTCAGGGTGGTGGCACTAGACCTGCTCATGGCCTTGGTCCTGGAAGAGATTTGACAGGATGAGGCTCCAGCACACACCTGTGTGGGTCCCCACTGTCCACTGGGCGAAGACCCTGGATGGTCACTGAAGACCTCACAGTACTGCCCAATTTCTTGTTTCATCTTCTTATGAATGTGCCTTTTCCATCCTGGCCACCTGCCAGTCACTCAGGCTTGTGCTTTTGTTTCTGCACACCAGGTGAGAACGAGTCCCCTCCCCCACCTTCCTCCAGTGGTTACTGAGCCCAGCCGACCAGCTGATTGACCAATTTTCAGGAATTTTACAAGTTGATTGATAAAAACCTCAAATAAGTTTAAGTTATGCAAATGTACAGTTAAATAAATTACATTAAAACTAAGATAATAGGAAATCAAAATGCATCACTTCCTAATTATTTTATTACATGTTGCTATTATCTGTGCTTTGAGGTTATTGACCTGGACTGCATGGTGTGACAGGAATACTCCATAGTAGTTGCTAAGTGTCCCTGTGCATAAGTGGCTTCACCTTGAGCCAGGTGGGAGGGGCCTCACCTCGGCTCCTGGCTCTGGGACTGAGACACAGGCACAGAGAACTGGGGGTGGCGGGGGCGCCCCTAAATCCCCCCCTTCCCACCAGCTACCCAGGCGCCTTGAGTTTCTCCTCTGATGGTTTTGGGAATGATGGCTTGTGACTTTCTCTGGCACCCCACCCTCCTCGCTCCCGGATACTGCCAGTACACTGGGAGGCAGAGGGAACCCTTCACACGACCAGGATGGACTCTCCGACTGCCCAGGGTCTTGAGTCCAGTCAAAAAGGATTTAAAGAAGGCAGAGACATTTGGCAGTGTGACCCTCCGCCTGAGCTCGGGCAGGGCCCGCAGGGGGCCCGCTTAGCGCCTCCTGGCGGGCAGAGCGTTTCGCAGTAGTGGCCAACTGGACCGAAGTGCCTGGCCCCACGACAGTGCCTTCGCCCCTCACCGCTCCATTCTTCCCAGAGGTCCCGCTGTCCCTGGACTCTGTCCTAGGGCCCTTCTTCCCCTTTTGACGCCGGCCGCTCTTGTCCCCTGCGGACCGGGGGCCCCTCCTCTGTGCCCAACAGCCAAGGGGCCGGGCCGCTGAGGTCTCCTCCCTGGCGGAAAAAGCCAGGGTCCCTGGCCGCTCTCGGGGCTCAAGACGCAAGGCCTGCCCTGGGAAGGGCCAGCCTTCTCGCGCGCGCCCACGCACTCCGGGCCGGCATAGCCTCGCCCGAGGGCCCGGCGGGGATCTGCCCCGCGTTAGACACGCGGGGAAGCACCGCAGCCCTAGCCGGGGGCGGGGAGGGGTCCTGGCATCCGGGCTCGCGTGGGGCGTTGAGAGCAGACGTCGCCAAGCATCGGATAATTCCTCCCGAGTCCCATTCCACCCCATGCTGCGTCAGGGGCAAGCCCTGCGTGGGGACGCGCGTGGCTAGCCCTCCTGCGGCCTGGGGTCAAGGAGGGGACCCGAGGGGACGTCCGACCGCAAGCGGGTTCGAGGCAGGGGCCCGGCGGGGGCGGGGACCCCGCACACCCTCCCCGCACGGAGCTGAGCACAGCAGCGTGCGGGCCGCGGGGTCCCTCTGGCGCCCAGAAGCGGCGTCCAAAGGACGCGCGGGACATGCAGGGGCCGCGCCAGCTCGCAGACCCCCGACTCCCGCGGGTTAAACGCTGAGCCGCCAAACGCAGGCACCGGGCACCCCAGGGCCCTAGTCTTGGGGTGCGGAAGGGCCCTTAAGGAGGTCGCGGCTTCTCATAACGGTCTCAATCAAGCTGGCTTCTAATCCCGCCCGCGGGGCGATGCCCAGTCGCCACATCTGGGAGCTCCCCAGGAGCTGTCTATGGGTTCCTCGGCCCGGGGTAGGGACCCAGGCTGGCCCATCTCAGCGTCCAGTAAAAGGCTGGGGGCCGGGGGGGATGCTAACCCGACCGTGGCTGTAGCGGGGGCGCTTCCTGTCACCTCAACCCGATTTGGAATCTCCCTGCCTTAGTTTCTTTTTCTGTAAAATGGGAGCTTGGGCTAGCAGATTTCCGAGGCGATTTTAGCTTGGTTGGCCGCGGGGCAGGGCAGTGGTTCCAGGCCTGGTCCCAAGTCCCCCAGGCGTGCATCGGAACATGGACTAGAATCCAGCGAGCAGAGCCAGGCAGCGCTGCTGTCTAGAAAAAAGGCGCGAATGTGTGGGTGGCTGGGTGGTGTGCGGCGCCCTGCAGGTGTGACGCCCCCGGCCACAGGGCCCGAGAGGTGGGCCAGGCTGGAGAGCATGGGGCAAGGAAAATCGAACACGCACACGCAGACACACACGGGGACACACCCAGATCGACCCACGCCTGGGCGATGGGAAGGCGCTCTGGGATCGCGGGCGGCTTCTTCCCGCGGGGCCCCCTTCTGCTGTGCAGTCAGCCTCCGGTCTGTCCGGAATTGGGCCCGCTTGAATGGCAGGAAAGGCTAGATCCGCCGAGGCAGCCTCCGAGAAGTCGCCAAAGCCCTGCCCGCACATGGTGGAGGATGTCAGTCCCCAAGAACGATGCTGGGTCCACAAAGCCCTGGGCCCTGGGGGAAGGGAAGGGCAGGAGAGCCGGGAACCAAGTATGGGAAGTCCCAACCAGGGTTTCAACCCCACACGGACATCTAAGAAACGTGGAGTGGCCCCATCACTCCCTTTCTTGATTTGGCAGCGACTCGAGGCCCGCTCTGCCGCGCTGCCCACTGGTATTGGCGATTTGAGGTCTGAGGGGCGAATCCCAGGCCCGGACCCCGCAGGTGCCCAGTGCAGCCCAGCGAGCTGAGCCGACTTCTATCTCCTGGCCTCGCTGTGGCCTTTCATCTGCCCCGAGCCCCGTCGGAGATTGGGTGGACGCCACGCGGGTGGCCCATCACCGAGTCCAGGTCCACGGCCCGACTTTCCCCTTCTGCCTGGACTTTTCCAAGCCTTCGGGGAAGCGGCGCTGGCGCGGGCCCAGGCGAGGGCGGGCCGACGGAGGCGGAGGGAGGGGGCGGCGGCGGCGAGGGAGGGACGCGAGGGGGCGGGTTGAGGCAGCCCCAGCAGCGCTCCCGTGCGACCCCCGCCGCGCCGCGGGCCCGGGCCGCAGACAATTAAAGCGGGATTCCTCCCCCGCTGACGTCCGCCGCGCCGAGGCCCCTCCCGCGGCAGCATAAAAGGCGCGGGCTCCGCAGCGCAGGCGGCAGTGGGGGCCGGACAGCGCGGCGGTGAGCACCGTGCGGCAGAGGAGCGCGGCGCCCAGAGCGCGGGCCGCCCGCGGAGCGATAGCCGGAGCCTGGTCCCATCCCCAGCCGAGCCCCACCGGAGCCGAGCCGAGCCGAGCGGAGCCTGCCGGGTCCGGAGCGCCAGGTGTCCGCAGCCATGCTGGCCGGCCGCGCCGTGCGCACCTGTGCGCTGCTCGCCCTCTGCCTCCTGGGCAGCCGGGCCCAAGATTTCGGGCCGACGCGCTTCATCTGCACCTCGGTGCCCGTGGACGCCGACATGTGCGCCGCGTCCGTGGCCGCTGGCGGCGCGGAGGAGCTCCGGAGCAATGTGCTGCAGCTCCGCGAGACCGTGCTGCAGCAGAAGGAGACCATCCTCAGCCAGAAGGAGACCATCCGCGAGCTGACCACCAAGCTGGGCCGCTGCGAGAGCCAGAGTACGCTGGACGCGGGTCCCGGCGAAGCCAGGGCGGGCGGTGGCCGCAAGCAGCCCAGCTCGGGCAAGAACACTATGGGCGACCTGTCCCGGACGCCGGCCGCGGAGACGCTCAGCCAACTCGGGCAAACTTTGCAGTCGCTCAAAACCCGCCTGGAGAACCTCGAGGTCCGCGTGAGCCGCGGTTCCCCCGCCGGGTTGTGCGCTCCTTTGCCTTCCCCCACCAAATCCCCGACCCTGCCCCCCTCCACCCCGCCTAGGCAGCGAGCTGATGCCCTGCCGGCGGTTCCCGAAGCCTGCGCGGCGCCGCGGGCGGCCACTCGCCGGAGCTCCCCGCCAGGCCGCCCCCGCAGTCGCCCCGAGGGTACCGCGCAGCGGGCCTCCGGGCACGGTCCCCGCTCCACGCGTAACGGTGTGGTTTTCCCCTGCCCTTGTGCCCCCGCAGCAGTACAGCCGCCTCAATTCCTCCAGCCAGACCAACAGCCTCAAGGATCTGCTGCAGAGCAAGATCGATGACCTGGAGCGGCAGGTGCTGTCTCGGGTGAACACTCTGGAGGAAGGCAAGGGGGGCCCCAAGAACGACACCGAGGAGAGAATCAAGATCGAGAGCGCCCTGACCTCCCTGCACCAGCGGATCAGTGAGCTGGAGAAAGGTAAGGGCTCAGAGGGGGCTGTGCAGCCTGCTCCTGGCCGGCTCAAGGATCACTCTCCTGGTCCTGCTCCCGGCAGGGCTGTGCTCTGTCCCATAAAGCCCTAGTCCCTCCTCCTCCCACCCCAGTTCTGGACTCTCCAGGTTTGGGCTTCCAGCCCACGTTTCTGGGCTGGAGATAACCTCCCCAGGAGAAGCACAGCAGAGGAAAGAATTGCATG